TTTTTTCAGGATGATGGAATGAGCAGTGATGAGGAGTTGGGCACCGGCAATGATGTGGATGCAGAAGGAAGCCGCCTGATGAAGCGACATTTAGACGATGCTACAGAATATGAGGGTGAAGAAGACGAGCAAAAGGCCGTCCTACCAAACCAAAAAGTTCGGGGTTTTTTTTAGTTTTTATTAATTTTATGGTTTTATTTTCATTTATTAGAATATATGAAGCATTCCGATGTTGCTAGCATAACGGGCTTTAGTGTTGAGCATTTTTCTCAAGTTAGAAGAAAAAACAAAAAATTTCAGGATGAATTTGTAGAAGTACTGGATGATAGTGAAATAGATGAAAGTAATGAAACAGGCGAACAGAATGATAATGCAAACGAATCAAAATATGCGGCTGAACGTGTAGAAACTGCGGAAAAAACACGCATTCAGGTGAGGTCAAAAATTCCGCCTCGAATTGTTTCGTTCAAAAGCTTATTGGCGATAAATTTTAACCCCACTTATTTACTTTTTCAAATTGAACAGATAGAAGTGACTGTGAAAATCGGTTTTGAAAACACGGTAGAGTGTAAATAAAAGCTGTGGATATAGGCGGATCTAAGGGGACGAGGGGGGGGGGAGGGAGGAGATGGGTCTTCCGCTCCCTCCCCCTGTCTCCAAGCGGCACAGATAGCATTGCTAAAACTGTAGAAAATTCTCTCCCACACCTCCGGATGTCCCCTCTCCCTTCCCAGGAGCCTCACCCCGCCTTTCTCCCCTCCCCCGGATCATCACCCCGCCGTTACGCCTACTCCTCCCCGCTCTCCCTCCTCCGCAATAAGGCTGCCCTGGATCCGCCCCTGACTGTGAAGGATTGAAAAGAGGCTTTAAAGTGTCAGTTGAAATAAGATAAACTTTGATATTTTGGTCAGTTAGTCTTCGCTAACATGTATTTTCTTACCAATAGTGCTTTTGGAAATTATTCCGTCCGTCCGTTCTTTGAACCTCTCCCCAGGTAATCTTACCCAGGCATTAGAATGTTTCCTACGGCTACACTGGCGGCTTTCTCTTTGTGTTTTTACTTCTATTTGGAATTATTAAGTAGCCCACTTTATCTGTTTGTTTTCTTACAATGAGACGAGGAAAAAACTTCCTGGAATTTACGTTTGGTTCTTCACTGATCCAGTTTTATGACTTAATGGACCGAAACATTTCTTACCTACTTTAATAATTCTTTTCATGTTTTTCATCATTCTTTCCTATATTTTTTTCTTTAACCTTAAATAGCCTTATTTGAGCACCAAAATTTACCGCACTTCTTTGACTATTCGCAAATTTTTGCTGCATATTCACTCCGGATGATCTCCTAGTCTGTGATGAAACTTGGTAGTGGTCACTTCTATCGTAATCGATGTTTAATGTCTGTATTTCTAAATTCACTGTTGATCAATGATCATTCACAAGTTTTCCTCAATTATTTTGGAGGAAAAAATATGCTTGATACGGCGTTTCCGTCATTGACGCGCTGTTGATCTTCTCCAGTGACTGCTGACCCGACAACCACATCACTGAGTTCTATCCTGAGCTCGCCTCATCCACAATACTCCGTATAATCGAGTTAGCGGATCGCACCAGCGTATCGGTGGCCTTCCTTCTGGCCTTTTTACATGTCGTGGATAAAAAAAATAATTCGACGTTTTTTGATGTTTTGCTAACCGAAAGCAACCTCAACTGCTCTGTGTGGTGTTATTTCTCTTTTAGACTCTGTACGTAATTCTTTTTTTTTCAGGCAGTTATTGGAATATCGCCGTTGGTAAAAGACTATAAATTCGATGTAAAAAGTAATCGATGGTGTATTATCACTTTTCAGGTAGATTAACTTCCTTTATTTGTTTTTTTTTTATGATAAAAACAAATTTGTTGATTCAGACCTTTATTAGTTTGAGTGCGCATTTATCTCCATTAAGCGCATACCGCACTTTCGATACCGTGATACTGTTCCGGGGATAGTAAGATGCGCTGTGAAGTCTGTGATGGTTTTGATTTTGTATTGTATATATTGATAACTTAACTTCTTTCGAGCTGTATTTTTTAAATTTTTTCTTTTTTAATGAACTTCCTTGATTTAG